AAGAAACCGAAGCTACCGGCATTGGTCACTGGACAGCTGCGCTCCTTTTTGCGTATCTCGGTCCAGCATTGTGGGTCGAAGTGAAGTGAGTTGTCTTGCTGGGCAAGCCGCCCCACCCAGGCCCAGGGCCATTATCTGTGAAGAACATGAGAGCATGTCATACATCTTTTGAATCTTTTGCAACGTGCGAATGATCCTATAATGTCATCCATACAAAAATCAACAACAGGAATGCGCAAACCATCTGTTTTTGCACTGGATTTCTGGCGCATGCAGCGCTGAAGGTGGGGATGCACCAGCTCCTATCGCTTCTATGAGGCCTGGTCGAGACAGGAGGCTAAACACTATGCTGGTCACCTGGACTGAGCGAGACCCTCATTGAGATGAAACGAAGAACAATGTCAATCCGGAAAGGATTGCTTGAAGGTTACAAAATTAGTGGGTATGGCATACAGGCATGAAAGGAATGTTTCCTCCATCGTCATCTTGAATGTGGAAGAACCCCCCTTCGACGACAACAAAGTGTATGCGGGAACACAGGACCTGAGATGTTCAACACCAGAATTGACATAGATCCTGCTCATAGTAGTATCACATTCGATAGCTCCACTATTTTCTGTGGTGACGAATCCATTCGTGAGCCAGTGCGTCTCCGTCAAACTTCTATCATGGTTTCTCCATTTGCAAACACATGTTTGTCTGACGGCGTTCCTTTCTTCATACAAGTTCATGCAAGGACACATTCATGTAAAAAGGAAGTCCGCCTGCACCGAAGCGATTTTGTGTTGAGGCGCGCTCACATAACTCCAACTTTAGCTCGGGGGCAACAGAACGGCATATCCGGCATCATGAGGCATGTCTGGAGCGGAAGTAATGATGGGAGAAAACATGCAAAAATGCATGGTGTTTGTGGTCGTGTGCCATATAATCTGCACGTGTAGAGAACTAAAGAACATGAAGTGGTACGCTTTTTGGTGAGAAATGAAATGAGCCAAATTTGTGGAAGGAATCGTTTGTTTGCCTGTCAGGGATCTGGTGATGCAAATGATGCCATAATGGGACATCATAGATGCTGAACATGATCGAGATATATAAGACCTGAAGATGAACAGTACAATGCAGTGAATGAAAAAAAGAAGCACACACGAAATAACAAATGAACAAGCATTGTTGGATATAACCTCAGACATGTACAATTTTAAGGGGGTTGACAAATAGAGTGTTTACAATAAATATACAAGAGGCATGATCCATGTAGGAAATAGATGGAAAAAACAAGTTGGACCCCCGAGGAATGTGTGATTGCAAGAAAGTCAAAAATAGAGGCAATTCGATCGAGTACGATACAGTACACTGTTTTCACAATGTGATGCAATGCAGTGGAAGAAAGGAAAGAACAACAAAGCGCAGATTGCAGGCATTGTTCGCATTGTTGAATATACGTTGAAACCCTTAGTTATTGTTTGTACTTGTAATGCATCGATGATAGATACAAACCTGTAAAATAAGCATGATCGATACAAGCCCTAGAGATGATTTGCTTGCATAAGATCTGACCCATATGTTTGTGATATGTTATCACTTGTATCCCTCGAACGCAATTTCTATAACGTCCACAACTCAAGTCCTGATCATTCGTTTACAAATATGTTGGTTTGGACATGGATGATTACTGTAGTGCCTGTTTTCCTCGCGCTGTCTCTCAGAGCAAATGGTGGGGTCGGTTATCGTCACGAAGTGACCTGAATACAGCACGTGTTAGTTTTCCACCAGTTCTTTCTTGCACAAAGATGCTGAAAACAAGGTCATCTGACAATGTTGTCCGGTTCTCCCTTTAAAGGTCCAGGTGAACCTCGGAAGCTCTGCCCCTGCCCTTTCGGCCGATTCGCCGCGTGGTGCGATGTCGCACCGTTCGGGTTTTGAGGACGGTCCGGCACGATACGATGGCGGTGGAAGAAAACAACACAAACGACACAAAGTGCAGCTTTCGATCGGTATACTTAACACAGCGATGGTGTTGCCGGATGGAATTTCCCGGGCCGTCTGCCGCCGCGGTGCTACCACGGCGCTCGTTTGCTTGAAAGTCGGCTGCGGCTGCACGGAACCATTCTTTGGAGCCCCGTACCAACGTACCAACCCACTAATTATCAAGCAACAAACTGCCAAGCAGGGGCAGCCTCCGCGACTGCGATGTAAAGCCCCTATCCCTCTAAACACTGTAAAAATTGGAAGTCTAGCTATTCTCCAAGCGAAATCAACAGCTGGTCCAGTGGGCAAATGTCAGACCATGCAGCGAATCCCACCCAGCAAGCCATAAAACAACATGGGGTGGAGTGCCAACAAAATATCAACATCACTGGACATCACCTTCAGAATACCTGAAGGATCTGAAAGCGACATCTTCCAGCCCTCAATCATATGGTCCTGTCCATTTCTATAGTTCTTCGAAAGGTGTGAGTGTCCCTATGTCTCCTGCTCAATCTCACATGGGGCAGTTTGACAGTCCCCTCACATCAACCCCAAAAGACTGGTTTGTAGAAGCGCTTCGGTTGATGTTCATATCATGACTTCGTTCGGAACTGTTCGGTTCCACTGTGCACTTCGCCGCAAGGAGATCTACACACAGCGCACTGCCTCTGCCCCATCCAGTGAACCTGGACACTGGCAGGACTCATGCGGCGGGTCCAAACATTGGAGACAAAACACTACGGGAAATCGGGGAAAGAATCGGAATATACCATGCGGCATGTAAGTCACATAGTAGCTTCTTGCTCCTAGTAGCGATACCAGGAGACCCTAGTAGCGTCCTTGCTCCTAGTTGCGATGACCTTTGCTCCTAGTAGCTTCGGCAGTTTCCTCAGCGCCCTCTTTTTGAGAGATCTTCCGTGAACTTCTTGAGGCAGCGCTGGGACTAACTCATTTCAAATTCCTCATCCAATGCCTCCGGTTGGATGGTACAAAAACACATGTAAAAAACATGTGTGTAACTTCTGATCAAGTGTACTGTATAATTGTATAGTCCTCTCATCCTGAGTGAAATTCCTCCTGCTCATGTTGGATCTGCACGGTTTGGCGACCTGAACCCATTTCACTAAAGCCTTTGAGCAACAGAACAACCACTAGCAAAGCCAGAACCACCCATTTCCCAGGTTTGGACCTGACCAGCAAGTGCGCGAGAGCACAAACTTAGGGCCAGCATGTTGGGAGTTCCGTACGTGGCACAACCGGAAAAGGGATTATAATTGATGATAGAACCCATGAGATAATCCTAGAGCGTCAGGAAGAAGCGCGTTGGCTTCCGGTCCAGTCGTCTGTTTAGGATCCAAAAGGGGCTTGACAGATTCATCTTCACTTCTTAACCTCAACTTCACCGCAGAAATCGTCAACAGACTCCCCAGGCCAACTTCCAGATCGCTCCAAAATTTCGGGGCATCTCATTCACATTGGCCACAAGATGTGTAAGGCGCAAAGGAAGTCTTGTGTATATATATATATAATCGTACGAAAGTCCATGGTTCACAATGCTTTGAACCAAAGAAGAAAGGCAAACATACGAGTACCTACTATTCTCACTCCGACATGCCGGCTCCAGCTGGCTACACATTGCAGGGCCCAGTTCCGCTCACGAACGCCCGGGTCGCGTGTCGTGCGTGCGGGAGATCGATGGATCCAAGGACGTAAATAAAGTTCATCCTCAATACGTTCAACATCCTTGAATGTGTTTATATAGTCCTGCGAGGTGTCATACCGACTTTACTGGCAAAAGGATCTTCAAAGACAAGGTGAAAACACTTTAGAAAATCTTTGCATTTCTCAAGATCCAAATGATCATGACCATTCATGGCCAATGACCAATGTTCACCAACCCCTTCATCAACCTGAACTCACCAGGTGGAAGACGAATGTCGGATCCATGGGATGTCTGTAGACTTCGACTTTCTTGTTCCTAATAGCTTCTTGTTACTACTAGTAAGGCACTTGTTACTAGAAGCGATGCACTTGTTCCTAGTAGCTTATTGTGTCTAATACTAATTCTTGTTGCTAATAGTTTCTTGTTCCTAGTAGTAAGGCCAGGAGCCCCTAGTAGCGTCCTTGCTCCTAGTAGTGTCCTTGCTACCTCAATCCGGTTTTATATGCAAAAGTCAATCCCAGGTTTCCCTTACCCTCCATCTGGGGATTCAGGTGGGGCCACTTGTAGACTCCTCAACATCAGCGACGGAAGCTGAGCAGTGAAAATCCAATTCTGAGCAAAGAGAAGTGATAAAGTGTAAGTAAATCCAGCAAGACAAGCAATTCAGGAACAACTTGTAATGAGCTTCAACAAGGCAAACGAAGCAAAGAGCGTCTTGATAATCTTGCTTATGTTCTCGTTCTGGTTCTTCATGTAGTTCTCTGCCTCTTTATCCTCTTTGAGCGGACATGTAGATGCCAAACTTTGGAAAATCTGTCCGACCTGTCTGGTATCAAAGTCTGTTTTCAGCGGATCGTGGCGTAAATCCTTTGACGTCTCTACAGACCCCACCCATCTGCATCACGGGCCAAGTTCTACCCTCCACCAACGACGGCTCTTCCACGTCGGCTTCGCGCATTGCGCAGTGCTGCTGTAAGCACTGCTGTAAGCACTGCCATAAGCACTGCTGCTGCCGCATGTTGTTTCCTTTAAAAGGGCGAATAATGTTTCATGGTCAGAACTCCGTTTGGCTCATTGGAATTGAATATTCTCTGCTTCAGGCAAGAACATAGTCATTAAACCTCCGGGATTTTAGTGCATTTAGCATCATTTAGCCATACGTTCAATGGCCTCTACCTGCATTAAGACATGTTAAGACCATCAGCTATCGGGTGACTCTGTCAAAACTAGTGGTTGAGTTCTTGAAACAAGGTTGAATCTCTCGATATGTCGTGATACCCGATGGTATCGCTGCGAGAAGGTCACTTCTCATAGCGCGCGAGGCCGACAGAGCCCCCCGGCGCACGAAAGCTGAAGCAATCGAGCCGTTTTAGCCCTTGGTGTCCGGCATGAAGGCGTTAAGGGTGTCGAGCCTGGGCGTTGGAGTTCGAGGAAAGCTGCAGTCGTGTGTTTGACCAGTGCAGGTATTGTGGACCGTTCTGTTTATGGCCCCATCGAACCTCAAGGTACCCATCTTGACACCTGAAAAAGGGTGCAAACCAAAAGCGCTTGAAGGCTCCATGTAGTGAATGTGAATATGACTCCAAAATCGCCAAGGGACAACTTCTCGACTGCAAGAAGCAGCTCGCCGGCGCCCACCTGGAAAATCTGACTTGGCCAGGAATAATAAACAATCGTCTCACAGAAGCAAACAAAGCGAGGATCGTAGCTGTGAAGGTTGTTGTGGGGCTGCTTGGTCGCTTTCCTGATGGTGCAGAGGCTTTCCTCTGCTTGCTCCCACTATGAGTAAGGATTGTCTGACTGGTCAACCTCCTCTGAGTTCAGTGATCTGTGTAATGATGGAATGATGATGACTAGTCAGTTCGGAATTTTAGGTCCTCAGTATTATAGTCCAGTATGCCGCATGCCGTTGGTCTCTCAGGCGGTACAACAAAATGTTGAGCTTTCTCAGATGATGTTTTCAAAGGGCACTTGATTCTTGAGTGTCTACTTGGCTGACACACGTGCGCATACCTGAGAACTAATGACTCTGTTGAGCAGAAGTTGAATGAACACCCAGTTGCCGGGTGGTTTCCATTTCCCTCTGCACTTCACCTCCCGTAGCTTCTGCAGCTTCTCAATGGCACCGGCCTGGCTCGAGAGATGGAACTTGGAAACAAGTAGTAGCGGGGCTGTTTCACAACTTGATACCCAACTACCCGCGGTTGACAGAATTTCCCACACCGCTTTGGGTTCCGTATATAGAATGAACATGGTCTCTGTTTCCTGTTGTCTGGAAACCCCTCCGTTCACCGTTGGAGCCACATCTGTACCCCTGCCTGGACTCCTACTTAAGGAAGGGCAACGGATGGAACGACATTCTCTGGACAAATCAAAGGTATATGGGCATCAAACTTCAAAGTACTGTTTACAGGATTGCACCCCAAAAGTCAAGATTCGTCCATCAATCCAGTTGAGCCCGAAGATCTGCAACCCATGCCTCAACCGCCAGGTAACAGAAGCCTGCAAACAAGCGAAGTGCAGCGGAGGAGCATTGCCAAAGCGATCTTATATTGTTGTCCATTTGGGAGTCGATCCGGTCTGAACCAAAGAGAGTATCTTCCTGCATGCGATTGCGAGACAACAAGCGAAGGATCTCATGTGGTTGTCGCCTTGTGGCAGCCTATCTGCATGTCAATGTATCGGATATGAGTCATATCGGGTCATATGAGATGCATTGCTGTAAATCATGAACTCCAAATGGACAGGGCAGTAGATAGGTGCTAAAGTCACCTGCCCGCTGGGCTTTCCGGCGTTCCAAGGGGTGGCCATCTTGGTGCACAATCCTTGGCAGAAAAACATTCGAAACAATGCCAAGGCCAATAACTAAGACCCAACTGCGAGATTGAGCAGTCTATGATGCAAAGGTTAGCCCTAAAGAAAGACATTTGGAGACTTGAATTGAACTGATGTCAACAAAAGTCATTCTCCCGAGTCTTGTGCAAAAACGTTATCGTGAGTCCTGTGAGTCAAAAATTGACAACCTTCTGGGGTGCCATCATTACAGTAGTTGAACGTTTTGCTTAAAAAGGAGCCAGATTGAGATACACATGTTTGAGGTGCCGAAATGGATATGCCTGCCACAGGTATCCAATCCCCGAACGCATCTGATTCAATTCGTGCTGATTCTCCCTTGGTTGCGGAACCTCCAAGCCGCACGGAGGCCTACAGTTGCTACCAGTCCAGACCACGACTACGACGACATCTTCCAAGGTCTCCATTCGCGCCACAAGAAACATGCCACACGTTTTCTCACCACGCGTGTGCCAGATGTTCGAAACACCAAGTCGCAGATCTTCGAGATTCCACACTGCCTGTGGTGAGTTGAGCATTCGCTTGATTTAAGCTAAGCCCTATTTTTTCGAACAAATCACCCGATCGTCTCGCACGCAGTTTCTTGACTCTGAAGAAAGATGCTGATGCCGAGCGTGTCATAGCATGTCACAGTCACAGGCTTCAAGGAAATAAGTGGTCATTAGCTCTGATTACTGGGTCCCCACATGTATGCGGGTCCCCAGAAATTGGAGTCCTCCATCTCCCTCTACTACCAGGCTACAGGGCCTCGAGCAAGAGATCGTGGTCATGGTCCTTCTTGACATCCAGCGAGCTAAAGTCCTACAAATCTTCGAGGACGGCAAATGGCAAAAGCATAAACACCAAAAGACCACGGTGTATGGTCTGCTTGTGTCTGCTTGCGATCAATCCATAATTCAATCGTGTCGGCTATTGCTTCCCTGTGTTTGGGGATGCATATGAGATTTTTGGCTTAGAGCCCAATGATCGAATTTGGAGTCAATCCTTCTGTTTGGTACGCATGTCTCTGTTGATAGGGCACATGCATCCCTATGAATAATTCTATGGCCAACTAAGTATAGTCTATCTCCTCCTTGGGTGGCATAGGGAGGAGGGCTTCCCTTTACGCTCCACTACAGTTGCACTATATTGTTATACCGTGCCATGTTTACTGGATGCGACTTGAGGCTCTTTCTGTCATGAGAGTCTCTGAGGCACTTCCCTCCACACATCCACAAAGTCCAAAAACTGGCACACCAAGAAAAACAATCCAGCAAATCCACCCATGTTATCCTCTAGAAACTGTTTGTAAAGCACAGTATCTCATTGAAGCCTCTAGACAAAGACCAGATTCCGGAAAATACCTCAAACTGATTCAAAGTGCACCCTTTCCGCTTCGCATTCTGCGCTCCAGCTGCTCCACCAAGGCTGAAAGGCCGCCCTTCTCCGCCAGGTTGTTGTGGCAATCCTCGCACTCCACGCCTCATGAAGAATGAGTCTCCGAAGATGGCGGGAAGAAGGCAGGCACTCCTTTAACACATGAACATCCTTGACCAATGATATTGTATCTATATGTATATATATATATACCTATATCTATATATATATAGATCATTCTAGATCTAGATAAAGGTCAGCATTTGGGTACACAAAATGGTCCCAAGTTGTGAGTATAGTCTTTGTTTATGTGTGGCTGAAAAGAAAAAAAACATATGTACCTAATAGGGGGTCTATTCATCCGCCCGGGTCCGAAGACTCCCTGCCGTTGCAGCCATTGGAGTGGACATACCGAATTCTCTTTAGGTTGGAGGCTATCGCTCATAGGTTGTCTCCAATTCTCCAATCGCTCTCGACTCACCGATCTGTCATGACCTTTCATCGGTGTTCGGCAACTCCTCACAGCGAAAAAGGGAAAGCAAACTGATGTTAGATAGGAGTTGAATGAGCCTATGGTCAGCTTTGTACGTTTGCTCGAGGCTGTGGGTAATCCGTAATAATCCAAGAATCCTATATAGATGTACATATAACCGCATATACATCTTGGGGGTGAAGGCCAGGGGAAGATAGCTAACAGCTAGCGTCCAGCGATTAACACTGACATGCACAGGGAAGTCATGGAACCCTATGAAGTCATGGTTCTATGTGTCTTGGGTCTGTAACCTTCAAAATCCTCCTTGGAAGCATCCTGAATCTCATGCGAAGTCTTCCCACACTGCCGCATTGCTGCCACGCTCGTTTTCCCATCACTCCCACACACGCATACCATTCATTTACGCCCATGTTGCCGGGCGGACACTGGCAGAGCCACTGGCGCATGGCTACCGAAAGGATAGGACGGCTGTCTTTGTTTGAACGATCTTTGTCTAGACTCCGGAGTCGACTTCATGCTTCCCTGACTACGTCAAAAAGGCAAGGCATCTCAGTTCCAAGTCTTCTATGGGCACTACTTGGAGCTCGTTTATCGAATTTTCTTGATTTCACCATGCCACCAGAGGCTCCACATCATGCTTTTCCTTCTTCAGCCTTATGCACTGACTGAATTCATGCAACACATGTCTATGAGCTGCCTGGCCCTTGGACGGCCAACAGCGCGGCAGAGACCAAAGAAGAGGTGCTTGTTGATCTGTACATCTCCCTGACGCACCACACCTGTCAGTTACAGCCGAAAATACATGAAATCCCACTCACGCCTATGTAGACAAGAGGGTGGGGGTCTGGCTCCTTGGATGCTTATAAAATAGAAGGATTGCAAATTGAATCATACTGTACCACTCTGGAAGTTATAACACCTGCATCCTCCATAACAATAGTAGGATATTGCTGACATGGCCCGCTTTCGCCTTGACGCCAGCTAAAAACATACACCATAAACAGTTTGCGCAGAGTGATCTAGAGATGCCTCAAACCAAGGACAGAAACATCCAAAGAGACTGACGTCAACTTCCTTTTACTTAGCCAAAAGCAGCTGCAACCTGGAAGATGCTGGGAGCACGACAGGTTTATCCCGGAAGCAGATAAACAGATCATTTTGGGTCTTGAAATGCTTCATTCATTCATCAGTTAAAGGAAGCATTTCCCAATCTTTGAGGGCATCGAATATCTGGAGAACGTTGAGATATAGCTAGATCCTTCTCCTCTAAGGGTGGGCCTGAAAATCCTCAAAGAGATTGATGGGGATATCTATATAAACAAATCCAGGACACGAAGAAAGGTCTCTTCCGCTCGCTTCTCTTGCTTGGGATAGGCCATGCCGTAGGCCAAGAGCAGGGCGTAAAGGAAGAAATCGTTCATGCGGAGTCCTATGGCATTGGCAAAAGGCACTGGGTAGAGCAAGAGCAATACGCAAAAAGTAACATGCGTCTAGCCAGCTTGTGATTAGCAGGTCTCCTGCGCCTTCCATCCGTATACCCAACTTCTCCGCCTTCTGCCACTTCCCACAATTTGCATATGCTCGGGCCTGCAGCTTTGCCAGGCTGTTGCTTGGATGGCTCAAGGGCGGTCCCTAAGAGCCCCATCAAGGGGCAAACATTGAAGTAGCTTGTAGTGAAACACAGTGAAACAAATTTTCCGCACCAGCGGGCCAATCCCTTAGGCCCTGTCCTCACCAGCCAGGCTACCTGATACCGTAAGGTCCCCACTTCCGTCAGTCAATTCCGCACCAACTCTCAAACCTTTAAACTGTCTACATATAAGTTTGATCGTCTTCCTGCTGCAAGGACTCCAGGAAAGGCTTACGCAAAGCCTGAAGACCACTTTACATACACATCTCAAGTCACTTTGGTCAATGCTGTTGGAGGAAGCAAGCAATAACTCAAGTGAGACTACATCACATGGTGTACCATTGCTGCACCCATCACGGTCAGAACAAGATAGCTACAACAAAGGCTGTTTGATCTTGGATCTTGGTTAAACCAAAAAGAATTGTGCCCAACACAATTGGGCACTCCAACCCGGAAACTACGGGTACACGCAGCCACGCAGATCGTGTAGGAAAACTTAATCTCAAAACTGACCGTATGTGGGCAGCTTCCATACTTTTCACGAACCAAACTGTTCAGTGTAAAGCCATAAATCCCCTCAGAAACCACATACAATGAGCTTTCCTTCCCACCCTGGAAAGCCAAATGGCCAATGAGGTGTAGGTGAGGATGTTTGGCTGGATCCCACGTTCTTGCATCAGCCCAAACCTGAGTGGAGTGATCAGTGTCCAATCGCCCGACCCGAAAGTTGTGATGTAATGTGCAGCAATGGAGTTACTAGTAGTAAGAATGCTCCTAGTAGCGATGCCAGGAGCCTTTAGTAGCTTCTTGTTACTATCCCGATGTCCCCACGATACTCTTCATCTCACACTCAGAACTTGCAGGATGGAAGAAAGCCCAGGTTAATATCTGCTCTGTAAGTCAATGAGAAAATTGTGAAATGATGGTTCTTTCCGTCTTTGGACATGCTTTGAAATCTTGCTGATTGTCACCCGTGTTGACTGGTCAATTTGATACGTGACGACGCCTTTCTATCCACATGGTTATTGCCCTCTAAGGAACTAACAAGGTTCGTGAGTTATCGTGAGTTCGTGGGTTGGATTCCAAACATGTCTTTTCAGTCTAAAGCCGCTAAAGCCCATTCCCCGAACTGACACGTGCTCCTTCCGACTTTCCCTGTTTTGACACGAACCGGCTTCCAATGCTTACGAGAGACACTTGCTCCGCACACTCAACCTCCCTCGCTTTGGCACATGCGCCCAGCAAGGAGGTGTAAGTGATTGCCTAAGAGGTCAAAAAAAAACAGAATGAGGGAAGTGATGGCAAACTCAAGGAACATACAGCGTGTGCATCCATGTTGACATCGGCCCTGCTAGTTAGTGTTTGAGACAAACAAAGGGTAAAGATTGTCCAAGCCGTTTTCCGCGATGCATTGATCTAAACCCAGTCATGTAGTCAGTAGATCTGTACATGTCCACAGTCAGTCTCTAATTGTAGTTTCTGGAGCGCGGTTCGCCTAGAATGCAGTTTGTAGGGGAGAACAGGAGAACACACGAGGGACATATACATTTTTTGCGCAAGGCTGGCAAAGCCGAGCTACATCTCCCACCAGGCCATATGCACCCATTGACTTCAAGATCTCCAAAGCTTCCTCGCACGAAAATCGTAGTGAGCAACTGAGGCGGTTCCGCTGATTCACATCCAGGTGAACTCAACCAACAGAATCACCTTTTGAAATCCAAGTACACGTGACTTGGAGCCACGCCATTTAGTGCGTTCTTTTTTGAGATCATGACTTGGACAAACAAAAGCCTGGCCACAGCCAAATATACAATTTACAGTACAGTATGCTATTTTTGTTTGGATCTGGTGCTATTATGACGGTCCGAGGTCTTCAGCGACTTTCCCAAATGCATGCGCATTCGTACCAATGAGAAAAAGCCCCTCTTCATTGCATCTTGTGAGTGTATGGCAACATCTACTTGGACAACACATACCCGGCTTGAGGAGGGGAGGATGCCTATTGAGATGGATTTAGCATGATGCGACACACAGTGTGCTACCGGAGGTTCCAGCCAGCTTCATGCCCAATAATGCTCAATAGATCGAGCTTTTTGGTGACTGTGTCCAATCGCTAGGTGTGTCCAATCTCGTGCGAAACCCCACCACTTCACCACCACACCTGAAGGTAGCCGCAGCTAGCAAGAGCAGTCAGCAGCGCAGTAGAGGTGTGCTTGTTCCTGGAGCTTCTGCATTTGACGCTCAGTATGGGATGAAACATGACAGGTTTGTGTGGAAAACAAAGGAACAAGAAAATGGGTAGTTATAGCATGTTTGTAGTCAAAACGTCCCTGTTCTTCTCAGATGATTTCACCTCCAGTTTCTATAGAAGTTGGATGAAAGTGCCAGAAAACGGATAAAAAGCATGAAAAACAACATGATGGCACAAAAGGTTTTGGAGGGATGAATTGGCACTATTGAGATTGAAAGATCAGCGGAATCAGGGACATAAAAATGGTTTCCTGAAGACCAAGGGGATCATCGACCCAACTCATATTACTTTGTCTTCTCCAAAAGGTTCAGGCCATGCGCCAAACAATTCTTGGTGCATGACTACCAGGAACTTATTACTGCTCGCATTGTGGTTGGCTTTGGCACTCACAAGCAGCTACTCAATCTGATTCCTGGTGTGCAAAACAGTTTCCTCTTGGGCAACAGGTTTTTGTTCACTCTTGAACCCCTTTTTCACCCCGCCCTGTTTTTTCCAACCCTCCACATGGATGGATGAATGGATGGATGGATGGATGGACGGATGGATGGATGGATGGATGCTGTGTAAATATAGGCGGGAGGGGGTGCGGGGGAAGGCGCAGCGCCCCCCTGCAATGCAATCCAAGTATCAACAGCATTTGGGGAAAACACATACAGTGATTGATGGGTCATGGACAGGGATGGTTGGTTGGCTTGCTTGATATTGCGTGAGACAGTGCGTGGTTCTGTGCAGGTTCCAGGGATTACCTGCCTGGTGAAGAAGAAAGGTGAGGGATTAAAAAAACAGGGTGAAGGGTGAAAGAAGCATGCTACAGGGTGAAAATGATAGAGTGCATGGTGAAAAAAATGTTTTAGAAGGTCAAAAAAGAGGGTTCCAAAGGATGGGAAAAAAAGGATTCTTGGTGGAGAAAGGTTTCGGGGGTTGAAAAAAGGGAGGGTGAAAAACACCTTGTTCAAGGGTGAAGAAAAGGGCACCCTTTCCTCTTTCTTGCTGCTGCAGAATCAATAAATAGTTGGAACGGAATGTCTGGTGTCTTATCTTCCCCTGCACATGGGCTTTGAGTCCAACTGGGGAGACTTCAGGGAAGCAAAATACAACTTAATTATGAGTTATGAGGGATTCACAATCATTCACGTCCACCGATTGGACACCCTGGATCTATCCTCGAGATATTTCAATGTTTGATCACCGGGGATAGTGCCATACAATAGAAACATTGTTTCTAATAGCGAACATTGTTACTACTAGTAAGGCACTTGTTACTAGTAGCGATGCACTTGTTTCTAGTAGCGATGCACTTGTTTCTAGTAGCGATGCACTTGTTTCTAATACCTCCATTGATCTTCCGAGATTCGGTCTCACATTCTGCGTCAACATCCGCTCGTGCCACCTCTGAACAACCGCGGGCTAAGGAGGATCTTCTCTTGGAAGCTCAGGTAAGACTCTCAGACAGTGGCCATTCGGGCCATTCTAGTCACTTTAGTGGATTGAAGTTTGATCATGAGGCTGCTTGCTGGTTGGGTCAATGCCAAGAATGGAATGTGTCTCATCGGAGCAGAGTCGGACACCATTTGGGGAGACTGAGTGGTCAAACTTTATCAAACAAGAAGCTGTCTGCTTGTATAGCAATCCCTCTTCCAACAAGTCCAGTTCAGTGCACTGAAGGTCTGCTGGATGACCCACTTGTCCCTAACATCATGCAAACATCCAGGAATTGAATCTTTTACAATGGACTTCTTAAAGATCCATCACTGAGACTCAACAAACTCAACAAACATCGCTCTTACGTGAGAGGTTGGAGGCCATCGCCATTATCTCCTTGATTTCATCAAGATTCTTCATATTTTTAGGCACGTCGCACGATGGCAACGTCCAATCCGCAGCCCCCTAGGGGGACGAGCCGACGGCCGAGCCACTCCATGGCTTTCACGGCGTGGGACGTCTTGGCGCAGGCGTCCAAACTTGGAGCAGCCGGCACTGGATGGTGTTTTTTGGGGGCCAAGGTAGATCCAGGATATTGATGAGTCATGTTGGCGTTGCTTGGGATGAACAGGGTGGTCGCACCAAAAAACCGGATAGAAGGTGCTCTCCGCAAAAATCCACAAGTTGGATGCCGAGCAAATCTTCAAAACATGGCAGCTTCTGGCTTCTGGCGAAGAAAACAAAACCTTTGTCAGACAGCAAGACAACTTGGTGAAAAAGGCAGCTATGACTCATATATATATATGTTTATACTATTTGAGGGGATGTGATTCTCATTAGTTAGGCAAACAGCAAACAATATGCGCAGGGTTGCAAACCTCCAACTGAACTCGTGGACCTTGACCGCCTTGACCCACATCCAAGCGACATAGCTCCGTAGCTCACCACGGTGGCTTCGCCATCTGCATGGATCGAGAATTCGAACCCCCTACCAATTTTGGTGTCAACCCACACTGTTCGTTTCAGGTCACACCTGTCTTCATGACAAGATGATTCATGTCTATGATGCCACCTAATTATCACCTTTCTCAGATCTTCCATTGTAAAGCCGACGCAGGTAGAATCAAACCACACCGCCCGTGACTTCCTCTGCGCTCTTCATCCCCACCGCGCGCGTGCAGGTCACACCTTGTGCGATCGGTCGCATCCAATGTTCTGCACGCTGAAGGTTGCCCTCCTTGGCATAGGCGTCCACCAGGATGGTATGGGCCTTCACCGGCAAAATGACCGCAGGAGTGAAGAAATTCAGCGCTAGGGCGCTGATTCTACCCAAGAGCGGGACTCACGACCTTCAAGTATCCGATGCTGGAGAAGAATTGAGTCAATTGTAACATGTTGCCTCATCCTGAAGCAAATTGACATGGAGATGCCCGTCCAGGTATAGACAACTGGTGACGGCCAGCCCCAAGCAGGGCGAGTCAGCTGCTTGGGTGACTAGGACTAGGGGTCCACTGATCGGTGATGAAAAGAAACTTACTGCATGACTCGCAACCCCTTCAGGTGCAAACAAGGACATCTTCGCCGCGTGTGCACTCGGTCTATGCCTCCCTACTTCGTACGTTAAACGAACTTGGTCTTCAAGTCCGCATGCGACAGAGCAATCAGTGTGTTTAGATGTGTTTAGTTTAAACATCAAATCAGCAGTTCATAGAACTGCCACTTCTCGAAGCATCATAGAACAGCTCAGCGTGCCAACCACCACACCAAGCTTCCGCCTGCGGCCGCAAATGGGGGTACTCCTGGACCATCTCCTGGCACACCACGGTTCCATGACCGATTGGGTCACATTTACACATTGAACCTTGGAACCTCTTCCCTGTGTTGTTCAGTCTGCTCTTCCTGCCTGCACTGTGGCTTCCGCCGAGTTGAGGTCCTTCCGCTGGCAGAAGGCCACCAGCAGTGCCAGAAAGCAGCCCTCGTTGGGCCGGTGCCCCGAAGAGCAAAGCCGCTCCATCCACCTGAGAGAGTTCCAAAAGGCGAAAGGTTGGTTTGTCTGAAGAGGGAGCGAAACTGCTTGAAACCTACAAGATTGAAGGCTCAAGACATAGTTTGAGCCATGCAGCATGTTAAACCAAATAACAAACTAGAAAAGTTCGGCTACATGCAAAATCAAACACCATCACTTAATCACCATCAAACTACCCGGGCATGCAAAACAGCATCACAAGTTCTCCACGACCAGCTGACACAAAGCAGCCTCGCAGCAAGGGTCAACTCTCCAGCACGTGCCCAGCCTGGGGCCGCGGGTGGTGATGGAAGTTCCCACAGCGCACAGAAGCCATGAAGGGAATCTCTGACAATCTACGAGTGATGCTCACTGTGATGCTCACTATCAGAAAAGGCCGAACCTCCCAAAGCCATTCTGTCACTCTGTCACCAAAGTCCACTCAACCCTACGAGGATCCTTTCGTTTTGCTCGTCAAACGTTCTTCGAGTTGCTTTCGTGGCTTCCCGAGACCACCGTGCCTTGGATCAGCATTGCATAGCTGGTCTGGTTTGGCGTCACACCAGCCTGGCGCCAAAAACGCCTGGATTCTTGGAGGAACGGCGGAACGGTTTTGTGTTTCACGGACCAGGCTGGAAGACCCCAGATTGAAACGGCACGGGAGTGGAAAAAGGACCTTTTGGATCAGGGAGGTCTCCAAATAAGACACATGCATTGTTGGATAGATAAAAGATGATAAAAGGACTACTGGACAAACGTCATGTCATGGTATGGTAATGTGAATCCACGTCTGTGACCAGATGAATTTGAATCCTTGGTGAAATTTCCGGTGAATCCAGGTTTCACCACGAAATGGGTTCATCGAGCTTCGCTGGTCAAGCTTTGCATCCACAGATCTGTTCAAGAAAATCACCTCTCATCAGGACACATCGTCATACCACCCCACCTAATCCAATTTGTCCCACTGTCCGACCCTCTGGCCGTCTGGTTCCGCTGTGTCCACTTGAAGCTATTTTCAGGGAGCAGTCGTATGGGGTCACGGTTGTATTCGGAAACTGGACGGTTGTATTCGGAAACTCCACGGTTGTATTCGGAAACTCGGCGGTTGTATTCGGAAACTGGAACGGTTGTATTCGGAAACTGGGATTCGGAAACTGCGCGGTTGTATTCGGAAACTGGTATTCGGAAGCTGAAGCGGTTGTATTCGGAAACTGGAAGGGTGGTATTCGGAAACTG